ACACACACACACACACACACACACACACACACACACACACACACACACACACACACACAAACACACACACTTGTCTTGGCTCCCCCTCCTCCTCCTCCTGTGCTCATTATGCTGTTAATAACAGAAGAGGGCACCTTTAGTCGAATTTAGCGATTGTTCGGCATTAAAGCAGAAGTTTTAGGAACATGGACTTGTCCTGTTGTTGTTTTGTTTGTTTGTTTTGGGCCATGCTGGTCAGTCAGCACACAAACACAACGTGGTCCCTCCACCCCGGACCCTCATTGTCTCACTCTCAGGGGTCTCTCTGTCTGTCTGAAAGCATGGCTTTGACCCTCGTTTGTCCTCTTTTGTTTTTTTGTTGTTGTTTTGCAGAGGGATTGAGGGAGTACTTTGGTAAATTTGGCGAGGTGAAGGAGTGCATGGTGATGCGGGATCCCGTTACCAAGCGGTCGAGGTAAGAGGAAGCGAAGGGTGGGGGGTGAAAAAAAAGGAGGCGTGTGCGCCCCGCCGTCCTATCACTGGATGCCTGCTCTCCCATGCTTGTGTAGGAAGCTGCTGCTGCTGAGAGTTTATTGGTTTCCCTCTCTTTTCTTCCTCTCTTTTCATGCAGGGGCTTTGGGTTTGTAACATACGCAGATCAAGCCGGTGTGGAAAAGGTTCTGGCTCAAAACAGGCACGAATTGGACTCCAAAACGGTGAGTCCCCCCACCCCCCACCCCCCACCTCTCTTTCTGCCTCTTGGTGTGTTTTCACCTCCCACTGTATGGCTTGTAAAGTTTAGGAGTAGGTTTTGGAGCAGCTACCCTCCTCCTCCTCTTCCTCTTGTCTGCTCGTTTCCAACCCCCCTCTACTCCACCCCTCTCTCTCCAAATCCCGGTTCAGGGCGCCAACATGAAAGCGTTCTTTCTTGGGCTTCATTGCCATGGTTACCTGGGGGACCTGAACGGGGTAAGAACCCCTGCAAAAAAAAAAAAAAATGAGGAAAGAAAAAATAAAACTCAGGTTTTAGGCAGAAGAGAGGGATCAATTTTTCCCCTTCTTTTTGTGGAAAATTCTAGCATCCATTTCTTAAAAAGAAAAAAAAAGTGGGATGTCTTTGAGTTTTTAGGGAAGGAAACAGCTTCCGGACRGATGGGGGTGGGGGGTGCTCAAAAAGTTGCTCGTTTGGATTAAAATAGTTTAAAAATTGGTCTAATGAGTAGGGTTGGGTAAAATCGTATTGCGTGCAATTAATCATCAGAAAAACTTTAATCGATTATTTTTTTGGCACTTTACGATTAATGCCACCAGGCAGACTGACTGGAGATTTCCCCGGTCCGTCAAATATGTCAAACATTTTAAAAAAAAGGTTCTGTAATTTATTTATCAAAACTCTAATTTCACTCTTGTCTATCAACTAGGCTTGGGCAATATTGGCAAAAAAATAAATCACGATTAATTGTGGTATTTAGACGATAACGATTAATTTAACGATTAATCCCCTGGAGTCCCTGGACACCTTTATGTCCTAGTCACATGACCAGTTTAGTGGGAAAGATTTGCTCTTTGTAAAAATCACAGACTTCAGGCTTGAAATCTCGAAGTGCATCAAATTTTAACTTGTGTTGATGGATAAATAAATTACAGAACTCTTTTTTTTTAAATATTCGTCGTATTTGAAGTGGAGAGAAGCACCGAGCGGACTAACTGGTGGCATTAATCGTATCAAGTGCCAAAAAAATAATCGATTAATATTTTTCTGACAATTAATTGCACACGATACGATTATGCCCAACGCTACTATCAACACAATTTAAAATTTGATGTATAGCCTGAAGTCTGTACTTTTGACACAATTTGGAACAGATTTTTGATGGAGAAGAAATCCTTCCCACTACAGTGATTGTGTCATGTGACCAGGCTATGAGTGTGTCCAGGGACTCCAGGGGATTGATTGTCATATTAATCGTTATCGGCTAAATACTGCAATTAATCATGATTACATTTTTTGCCAATATTGCCCAACCCTAATAATGAGTGTGTTTAAACAACACTGTTAATTAGGAGTTTAAATGAGACTCGCCTCTTGCACAAATGGATTATAGTAAATCAAAAGGAGAAAAGTGGGTTAAATAATTTGCACAATCGAGCAAGATCATCTTATGTTGTGAAATGATGTAGGTGTTTTGGGTTTGGGTTTTGGGCTCTCAGCTACTATCACGAGTTTAAGCTCAATTGTCTGTAAACATTGACTGGGTTACAGACATTTTTTGTGTTGMCTAGTATCGAAAAGCTGTGGCAGCGCTCTTGAATTGGATTGACTCCAAAAGTTAATCAGTTGAGGTACATCCAATAATCGTCGGACGTACCTCACTGAGATTGTCATTAAAACCTCTACAGTGGTTCATGTGATGTTTTGCTAACAGACAAGCGTGTTGGTTCCTACGTGTAAAGCTTAACTTTTAAATAAATGTATAAGCTAAGAGTAGCACTTCTCTGTGGCAGCCATCTTGAATTTGATTGACTCCAAAAGTGAATGAATCTGAGGAGTTTACCCAGTGTTGAGTCCACACATCTCAGGACAATGGAGACAGCGAGAACAGACGATCAGCTGTGTGAGCTAAATGTTCGCTACGTCAGAACTTATTCGGCAAATGTGTTTCCATCTCTCCTTTTGCGCATGAACTCTTTTTCGAAAAAACCTCCAAACCACCTCAAGCGAGCGTTTTTGGGAATTAGAGGAAGTTTTTTCGAATCACGCCGTTTCCATTCACCTTTTCTGATGCAATGGTTCAAAGTGCGCATTAAAAAACACTGATGGAACCACGGCTATTGTGGCTCCACAAGCGTCTCATATCAACTCGTTTCGAGGCTGTCTCTTTAAATTTCAACGAGGAGCTTCATGCCCCACCCCCCTCCAGCTTCCATGGTGGTTCATTGTAATGTGACAGAGGGTTTTATGACTATATAGCAGCGCAGAAACTTTTTATTTACAAATAAATTAAGGTATATAAACAAGCCTTAACTGTTGGAGCATCAATGGCTAAAAAGTGGATTTTGCATGATACATCCCCTTTAAAGTTTTAATAAAGTTTGTAAATTTGTCCAGTGGGTCATGTGATAATTTGGTACCATGCGCGCACACACACACACGCACACACGAGGTAAACCATCATTGTCTGCCTTCACCTTTCAGCAGCGGGTAATAATGATGTGTGAATCCCAGCAGCTTGTTTGACTGAGATTTGAATATGTATGCAGGTGTGAACGCTGCTGTCTTGGTCATGTAGATGTGCTGGTTGTAGGAGCAGGGACAGGGTGTGTCTTCGTCAGCCTCACACATACACACATACACAATGGGATCATTTGAGAGTGAAAATTGGTGGCACAGACAGGCAACAGCAGAGCCCAGGGGTGGAGAAAGGTAGAGTTGGTTAGTTGTTGAAGCAAGTCTGTTGCTGGGGCTGACGCCACAGCCTCTGGAGACGCTGCTGTAACTGCACGACCCGGTGGGGTTTTTGTCCCCATAACAACTTCTCTGGCTGTTTTGCATTAAACCTTTAAGGCTCCGGGGCTCGGCTTGGGCGGGCGAGTGTCGACAGCGATAGTGTCGAGTCATGTCCGACTTTTGCACTTCCTGCGTGTGGAAGGTGATATAAGTTCCAGGATGTGATTTTTGGATGGTTCAAATACGTGAAACGAACGTCTCTCTCCTTACAGCTGCCGTTAGKTTTATTACAACACGCCTGTTGCTGGGTTTGCTTCAAAGTGAGGTTCTAAGCAACTGCAAAGTGTTACTCCGTGAGTCATGTTACCTCTTAAAACTAGGTGCTGCTGAAGTATCTGAAAGCCAGTCCTTGTGTATGTGTGTGTGTGTGTGTGTGTGTGTGAGACGTGAACACTGGTGTGGAGGCTCAGCTTGGCGGGACACTGGTGGGGTTAGGCGTTGCCCTGTTATAAACCAAGCTGCAGCATAAGGCTAAACAATAATAATGTTAACGGCTGAAGCTCAGCTCTGGTTGTTGCTGCAGCATTAACTGGTGCAAGGTCCGTACCACCGGTTAAAAGTGAAAATTAAACATTTACAACGCTGTTATATCT